CACATTTATCCAAAAATTGTCCATCTGTTTGACAACACGCCGCGACGCCCGCTGCCTCGTCTGTCGCCATCAGGCGTTTGTCGACGGTGGATTTGTATCAAATTTTCCATAAATTTTCTCTTATTAATTTCTTATTTTACTCGTATTAATTATAGAGCGCAGGTTGCTGGACGCGAGGGGCGGTCCCGGTACATTTTAGGAGGTGAGTTGTGGGGAGCGCCTCCTAAAATGTAGGTTCTGAGGTGGAAGTACCGCGCCTTGATATAAAATGCTACAAAATAAAATAATAAGTAACATACGTCTTCCAAGTAATGGCAGTGCCGGAGTCACCTGGGCAGTCGCTGGTTGTCGTGGTGCCAACCATGCAAAACATATGATCAGGTACAGGCCTCGCCTCTGTGTCAATATTTTGAGAGGCGTTACAAATTTTTTTATCAACGTATTGCATTCGGGTCACTGATAGTCTGTCAGGCCTGTCTTCTGTGTTCTGTTGAGTAAGCAAATGATAGTACATATAACTAAGATAGATTTCGAAGGAATTGTGTTGACAAATTTAACATTAATGTTCACTGTTCGTTCAAAAAACAAACTAGACTTAAATTAATGGCAGCACACTTTTGTTATCCATAAGAAAATGTTGGCAGATAGCAGTAGAACTCATTGTTGAGTTTGTCCAGGGAAGTACTACACTATAACTATTTCCACCTCCAAGCAGTAATGTGACCTTGGCAGAATTACTGCGTTCCGGTATTGTATAAATGCTTGTGAAACTACAAGCACATGGAACTTATCAACTCCCCTCAGATCTTTGCGATTTAAAGCTCCGAGTGGCACTACAACTGGACAGGCGTGACGCTTGCCACCAATCGCACGACTTGTTCGTCCTGAACTTGGTATCATAAAAAAAACAACATCAAAAATAATTATGTAGCTGTTTTGTAAAACTAAAGTAGATACATGGATCAATAAACTCTAGAGATCTGCTAATCTCCATCTTACTAAATCCCATCTTATATCTAGATGACGCTGATTAATAGCCTGGAAGTATCGAGTTCTTAGGTTTTCGCGATTGTTACACACGAAATGAAACTATTGTTCACCTTTGTACACAAATATTTAAATTGTTTCTGAAAATTTATAAGTTACTTTGTGGTACAATAAAGTGTTTAAATAAATAATAAATATTTTTCCGGATTTAAATCTCGTATATTTGTTTTTTCATACAAACTAACATTTCGGGCCCTTTACAGGTCCCATGGGTACGGTTGAGTTTATATTATATAAATAATAATAGTAATAATAACGCGCACACACTCATAGCCCCGCAACAGGGTAACCCTGTATCGCGGATGTTATGGAAACACACATAGACAACCACAAATTACACCCAAACTCATGAGAAATAAATGTAGGCCATACAAATATTTGCAGCGCGGGAATCGAATCCGGGACCTCTTACGTGGCAGTCCAGCATGGTAACCGTTTGGCCACGGAGGCAGTTAATATAAATAGCCATGGATATCAGTTAATTCCTTTATAATAAGAAATCATCATCAATTCATTTATATGACCCACTGCTGGACACGGGTCTCCTTTCAGACGAGGGTTTAGGCCATAGTCCGCTACGCTGGCCCAATGCGGGTTGGGGACTTCACACGTTTTCCGAGGGTTGTGAAATACCGAAAAGCTCGTGATAAATTTCAAATTAAATTTGGCACATAAATTCCGAGAAACTCACGAGGTGCGAACCCTGATTCGAAACCACGACCCTCTGCTTGAGAGGTAGTAGGTCAAACTATTAGGTTATCATGGCTTCAAATAATAAGAAATACGAGTAACTAAAGCTCTGAGTGGCACTGCAAATGTTATGTGTCGCTCACCACACATGATATCATAACAAAAAAATGTAGTCCTGATATAAATATATCGTTATCCATTTCATAACGAACCAATTGCCATCATTTAGTTGAAATGTTATGCAATTTAAGTTATATAACAGTGGTAAGGGTCGACTTACATGCCAGCTCTAAACTAATATCCAATTTACATTGCATGTTTCTGGATCGTCTTTGAATTTATCAAACTTAACACGGAAACTACTTCTCCTTATCTCTTGTTACTTCGGATTTGTTGTCCTTTTCTTACTAATAGCGAAAGAGACAGATGACTAAAGTTAGTTAAAAGTAAGTTTTCGTTTGCGTCAACTCGCGCCATAAAATTATCTGTATGTTAATTAGGTCACATTCATTTTACCATCACCATCTCCTTTTTTAAAATCAGTTAAAAAAGATTCGGTTTTGAGATTATACTGAAAAGATAATCGTACTAGGTATTAGGAGTAGGCACATTTATTTTTGTAATAGATTCTGATTTTATTGTTACACGAGCAGCTTTGAAAACTCAACTACGTGCTATCTTTCTACTTACTTACTTCCTATCTTTGCTATCATATGCTATCTTTTTACTTAAATAAAATTTAGTAATGAAGTTCAAAAAATATCATGGTTGTTGTAACTGCTCAAATACCTACATGCTCAAAATGCTATAGATACGGAAACCTACTTTTAAAATAGTCTGGAAAATCTCGTTTTTTCGAAATTTTCGAGACCACTTTTAATAATATTAAGTGACGGGACGAACAAGTCGTGCGCCTGATGGTAAGCTACACACCAATCCATAACAGTTGCAGTGCCACTCGGAGCTTTAAACCGCAAACATCTGCAGGGCACTGCCACTGCGCCCGTCACCCTGAGATATAAGTTAATAAGTCCCATGTGCCTGTAATTTCACCAGCATTCTTAACCCTTCAAAATCGAAACAATGATGCTGACATTACTGCTTGGCGGGAGAAATGTGTAAGGTGGCAGTTCTTCCCTAGACGAACTCTTTCACAAGGAGCTCTACTGCTACTAGAACCGAAGCTACCACAACGAGTTTTAATTTTTTTCCAGAGACGCTTAAAAGCAACGAGACTGAGAACTCTAGCTAAACCTTTAGACGCAATGCATAATTAAGAATACCGAACGCGAACCCGTATCACTGCAACGTGTAGCCGCAACCAAGGCTCCCAGTCTGCTAATGTTCTTGAAACCTCTGGATCATTGTAATTCAATTGAGACTCCACCGATATTATATTGCAAATTATGATAATATTTGCTATTCTGCTAATATCTAGTTGCAATGGCAGTTGAGTATCATTGGTATGGCAATGATGGCATTCAGTCATGCAATCACTAACGATCTATGTTGCCTTACTAAAACTATCATGGAAATTACTATACATGTCTTAATTTGAAGATTAAATTGCTGATTAATTGGATCTGCAATTTAATCTTCAAATGATTTTTTACATAATAATCAACTACGTCATCGACGTGTCATGGAGCAGAATACCAAAAAAATTGCAATGACAGTGGAATAGTATTTTTTATGCATATAAAACGTAGCGTAAAAGTATTTTTTGTGCGAACTTGACCTCCATCTCACCTGATGGAAAGTGATGATAAGGTCGATGATGTAGTATGCACACCTAAATAATGCTTACACTCACGCTTTAAAAAGGTCCAAGTTATAGGGTTCGAGGAATAAGTCCGCAAGCAGGGAATTCCATTCCCCAGCCGCTCGCCATATAAATGTGGAAGCGAAACGTTTCGTGCGAAGTGGCTAGATGGCTAGTCGCTGGCAAGCCACTACTCTTAAATTTTAGCGGAATACCAAACGCACAAAATCCTACCATTAATATGCTATCGACGTAGAACTTATATGATTTAAATTAATATCCCTGGGGGCCCTGTTTGGGTAATCCCTTATATACTCATACTCACACCGGTCTTGCCGAAGCCAGCAATGCTCATCGAGTATTTCACGTTCCGCCATGCACTATAGTCAGCGATTGTTGCAATACTGATTGCTTTGCTAAGCTTAATCTTTCTTGTTAACAATATGAGGCCCACATCCCAGAAATAATAGTGTTCGTTTTCTGCGTAATTTGGATGTTTCAATGCTTTACATGCATCATATGGAGTGCCGGCCATTGAATAACTTGATCCTATGGAAATAATTTGTAATATTTTAATTTATGCTTACCTATATGTAATAAGAATAAATTTTAATATCTACTTATATATATTTTCTTTCTTTACCGGATATGTCTAAGGAGCAAGAACATAAGCAATAGAAGCATTGGAAACAAGGGCATTCGGCACCCAAAGCCCGTTTTGATGTTATTGCATTAAAACATATAAAACACTATCTTGTGACAAAAACTCATTTCGATCTCCCTTCTAGATGGCGCAATTTTCATTCATTTAGAAGGTGGCGCTCCGTCCTTGTGGCATAGATTATAAATGTGCGTTTAAATTTCGGAACCGTTACCACCTGCAGTTTGTAAAAACTTATTTTAATGTAAAAAAAAAGTCTGAAACGAGCGAGTTCATCCTCAACATGGAGCATCTAGGAGGCCAGTGAGACCTGCCGAAGATGATACTGTTGATTCATTTCAATCCAGCGAATTTAATGAATGATAAAAAATGCGTTTAAATTTTTTTCAATGTAACTTTTAAATAAGACTAATTCACAATTTACTTAAAAACCAAAAATAAAACGAATGCCCCATTAATTTGCCGGTTTGGTGCAATAAGGGCGGATAAGAAAGAAGTTTTTCAAATGTATCTAATTGTTTTAAAACAATAATAACACTTGAATATTTTAGCTGAATCATAGGACAAATAAATAATAAAGTAGATAATAGTCGTATTATAAATATTAAAAAGATATAAGACATTCAAATCGAATCTCACGTTTACGTGATACGCCCATGTTACTATTAATGTGTATGTAATTAAAAAAATTGTTCAATCTAACTGAAGGTGAGCTTGCAATAAACATTGTTATTTCTTTGTTATTTTTGCAACTTACTCAGAAGTCAGAAGTTAATTTCAAAATATTCGTCAAATCCCTAGAACTGGTACTCACGTTGATCTGTAAAAAATTCAATATCTGAGGAATATAATATATTTCTAAAAAAAATATATTTATCTGTAACTTAATATCTAAGAAATTAAATGTTAAGGTTAATTGGAAGAAAATAATATTTGGCAAGGTCGCTGCTTTACATTAGATTACTCTTACTTACAGTAGTCGTTTGAGTTGTAATTGTATTTTTTTATTCATTCAAATATCAAAATTGTAACGGGTGTCAGACTGGAGGAGTAAGTCACACGGGTTTAGTTACCTAGCAACTCCACTAAAGGTAGTTAAGTTTATTTTTAAGTAGATAATTCGACCTATTAAATTTTTTGGTGAGATATTAAAAAAAAATACTTCTTTTTATGTAATCGCAAAGAAAACCCAAGAAATAACAATGTTTCATAACAATTTACGACAATGGCGGGTGTATGCGTTTTGTGTTTAATAATATTGAAAAAAGCCAAGTCTCGAAATATTTAACTTAACCATTCTTTTTTTATAAATAAACAGTTAAAATAGTTAAACTTTTTGCATGCTTCATCGCTGTAGAAATTTCAACAATTTAAGCAACGTATAGCAAATTATGTTTTTCATGATTTATCAGGCTCTTTTCTTACTTTACGCTTCGTGTAATTTTTTTCTTGATTTTTGGACAATGTTCGATTTGTTATGGGGTAGTTAATAAGTAATTGTTACATTTATAAGTTTAGTGAACATTTGAAATATTTTTTTACATGTAAAATTCTATACAAATATTATAATTGAAATAACACGTTGCATATATGACCTTGCGTTTTCTTGAAGGTACAAAACCTTCAACAAAACGCAAGTTCATACATGGACTAGGGCATGCTAAACCAGTATTGAGGTCAATTGAGTTCCTATACTCCCAATACTCTCGGTACATTTTACAAGAATTGAACATATGATAAATCCTGGTTTTTCAGACATACTACTTAAAATAATATCGTATAATAAAGAAACACAGTTTTTATTTAATTGGGTCCACAATTTCCACTCTATTATTACGAGTATATGCCTACACAACTTACACACACAAATACACCACTAAACTAAACACCCATTCATCCATCATTCATCTACAAACCATCCAATTCTTCACTCACACTCATACCTGTGACCTGTCGCCTTTTTCTTTATTTTCCAATTACCTCTTCGTCATCATCTTTCTTTATTAGCATTACAATTTACATACTTAAATTCTGTCACTGTATTGTTTCACTATTCTGAATTACTTATTTTTTACCGGCTCACTTTGGGTCCTGGCAGTATCATTGGCGTCGTAATTCTATCGAATCGCAGCATAGTGCTCTGTTAGGCTTTTTTTGCTGTGACACTCAACTGTACACCCCGATAATATAACATTTCGGACTATATCGGAAAACCGCCTTAGCCTTAGACTTTTTTATTTCTACCATTGTACCTATATCATATGCTGTATACACATGTAATGTGCTGTTATTCAGCAAGTAAATGAGTTACCTATCTATCAATCTCACCTGCTGAACTGTGAAGAAAGAATAGAAAAATACACGCTCGTCTAGTTAGTACACTTTGATATCCAGTTTGTGTAAGTCAGTAATATAGAACACGACAAAAAACCTCTTAGTTAGTCGAAATACACGGTGAGTACTCGCTACGTTATGCCTTTATTAATTTTATTAAGGCTTCGTTCAAATGCGCGAAGGTCCTCGGTCTGGTCACGGCGTATTTCGAACTGGATCTGGAGGAGATCGTTGTAGAGTAAAGCCGTAAGAAGGAGGTGATGAGATAGAGTTAATGGCAACAGGTCGACTCTTCTTTTTGGTATAGGTTTTACGCTATCAGTCTTCTAGGCCTCGGCGGTTTTAGTTTGTTATATATTATATGCAATAGAGAATATGTAAAGAACACAATACAATTTTTTTTATTAGAACCGAAAGTAAGGGAGCCTAGAATCTGAGCACCGGGACTGGCTCATCCACCTCAGTACAGGAATTAACCGGTATTTATTAGAACCGGAAATTTCCGCCTTATCCTAGATAAGTCGAAGGATAACCCTGATACTTTGATCAGTTTTCAACAGTTGGCATATTACCGAGCAAAACATCAATGTCTGCAGCTGGTATTATTTGATCATTTGCGTAGATGCAGTGACTGGCAGTGACAACAACACGTTTGCTGACGACGGCGCCGCCGCATAGTCCCACATCATCACCAACATGCACTATAATTTGAGCTGTGTAGGGGTATTGTTCTATGTCTATTGATACACCGTTCATCACTAACTTATTCACTGCAACAAAGACGTTTACACACACATGTTTTAATTTAATTCTCTACTAAGTAATTATGGTACTATTGACATACTTCTCAATAGTACGACAAGTTTGAACTTTAGTACCATTACCGCCTACACTCGATCCGATACAAGGTATGAGAAGTATCCAAAGAAGCAACATATTTCATAGTATTGTGCTCCAACGTTGAGTATCGTGCGTGTTATATGTTAACTTTAAATTGAATATTTAATTGCTCTTTATACATACAAGGTAAGGACAAATTAGTTCCATGTTTTACTCCTGATTATTGATGAATTACAGTTTAACAAACATATAAAAATTATCGTGAAGGACAAAACGAATAGCTGATTTTGAGGTTACAAAATCTCACATGTAGCTTCATGATTCGCAAATCTTTAAAAATGGTGATCAGTTCTGTACTACTTTTAATATCATACTTAATGGACTAACTACCTCGGTACTTAAAATGCGTAAGCAGAAGTGTTTGTAGCAGTTAACGAAGTAAGACTGATTCCCATGCCAAATAAATCTGGCAGACTTTCAAAAAATTATCATCAATGCCTAGCCATTATGACATATGTCCCACTTCTAGACACGGATTATCACTAAGGAGAATTTTTTGGCCCATAGTCCTCCATGCTACCTCAATTCCTTCATCGTTTAGCGAGAACTACTGTGTGTTTTAGTACCAGTAGAGCTCGTTGTGAAAGAGTTCGTCCTGGGTAGTACTGCCACCTTTTCTATTTCTGCCGCCAAGCTATAGTGTCAACATTACTGTGTTCCGGTTTCGAAGGGTAAGGGTGCTGGTGAAATTACAGGTCTATGGGACTTGTCAACTTATGTCTCAGGGTGACGGGCGCAGTGGTAGTGCCCCTCAGATCTTTGCAATTTAAAGCTCTGAATGGCACTGTAACTGTTATGGACAGGCGTGTTGCTTACCATCAGGCGCACGACTTGTTCGTCCCGTCACTTGATGTTATAAAAAAATACTCTTACTCTAATTTAGAAATTAGAGGCAAAGGATACGTAGACGTCAACTTCTCAGTTGAGAAACGAACTATATAATTTTTTATACAAGCATCAAATTAATATAGTCAAAAAGTATGAATAGGAAAATTAGTCAAAAAAAAAGGTTGCAAGAAAATATATATTTCATTTTCAATCTGCAACCCTTTGGTAAGGAGCAAATGCCTAGCAAAAGTTAACAGGTGTGATGTAATATTTCTTTTTATATACGAGTAATTGAATTGCCCCAAATACTGTTCACTTCACTTGATTGAATTATGTCCTTATTTTTTGTAAAATCAATGCTGCAATCAGCCATACGCTTTTCATATTGCTTGAATAAACGCAAAGACTACATAATATAGGTGTGTACTATATGCACAAGTATAGATAAATATTGCGCTGTAGCATAAACTCAGCATGTCGAACAAGATACCCTCAGTCCAATGAATATGTAAATGGATAAGGCAGTTTACGGCATAGCGACAAATCACTCGAAGTTTATTCAATCACTGTTACTGTTACTGTGTACAGGATAAGACTCACCGTGTAAGCATAGTATAAGACAAGTAGGGCAACTCCCGCCTTGTCGGCGCATCAATGCCACATTATTATTTTAGTAGTATTCTCGTGCATTCATCACAGCCTTCTTGTGCTATATTGAAATAACTTTGTGAAATGCAGTACTTACGTATTGATGTTTTTATACCAGCATTGAGAATTTGTATCTCGGCTATGGGAGTACAATTATAAATTTGAATTTGTCAAAGTATCGAGTCCGTCACAGACCACATCTTCCGTTGAGTCCGTTGTGTATATATCTACTTTCATGTGAAGTCATCACTCGCAGGTCAGCAATGATTTTGTGAAAGATAAATCTACTGTATCAAACCTACTCGATTATAAAATGTCCTGTGTTCAGCTTTTGCTAAAGATGGACAACAGGATGCAACGTGCACCTATTACCGGAAAGCCTTCAACAAAGTAAACCATGCGCTGCTTTGTCGAAAGCTCTCATGGTACGGAGTTCGTAGTGTCTTTTAAGATGGGTGAAATCGTATTTGATGAACCGCAGTTAGCTGGTTGCCGTCAAGGGTCTCAAACCCAGTGCTATTGAAATGAAATCTGGAGCTCGCCAGGGATCTCACCTGGAACCAATATTTTGCATAATTTTTATAAATAACTTGGTCACTAAGCTAAAAAACCTGCCCTTGTCTTCTTCTGTATGCCGATGGTCTTGTGTTTACCAGTTTACCAAGGTAGAGAACAGTAGTGGCACCATTTCTTTGCGAAGATATACTACCACGATTGCGGAATGATGCAAACACAACTGCACGTCGATAAGTGCTTTATTAAGCAGTACACTTTTAGAATCTGTTACGCAAAACTTCAGTCTCGTGCATTTAATGGGTTAGCGATCTGTAGTTTGTGTTGTTCTTTTGGCTACTTTATACTACTGTGAACAGATCTAAATAATAAGTATTATTTTCAGTTGATTTTTGTCCTTGGAACACCCTTAATTAGCGCTAGCTTTCAATTAATGGGTGTTTCTTCCGTTTCGTGCATATTCTGCGTCCAATGTAAAATTCACGTTTTTTACGGGACATAATAGTATGTTGCTTACATGTATAGTAATATGTAGTATGTAGTACTTATGATTACAGAAACGTTGTTAATGAAATAAACTTGAAAACACTGTCCCAAATCTCACCTCCTTCGGCGTCCATTTCCTGTTTTTCCTGATAAATGTTAAAATTAAAGAAAAACTAAAATATTAAATACAAACATACTTAATTTATAAATAAATACATTAAACACACGTCGAGTACGTATAATGCAATTTGATTTAATTGAACAATCTCAATAGTATTTGAATAATTGAACATTTGTTAAACTGCGCTTTGAAAGTATCTCTAACAGAGAGTTTGTATATGACCTATAACGTTGTTAAACCGCTACTATGCCCCGCATACATCCCTCAGGTACCCATAGAAAATCGAGGACTAAGTTTATGGTAAAAAAATATAATCGTGTGAAGTGCCTAGCGAGGACATTATTTTGAATACGTTCTCTTTCCTTTCATCTTTATATCTTTCATTTTTATAAATAAGTATTTTTCATATTTTCTCTGATGTAGTGAATTATCAACACCAGTAAGTATTTATCTAATTTACAATGTTCGTAAAGCTCAAAATTTATTTATCATCTTGGAGAAAATTAAAAACAGTCCGAAACCTCACTACCTTCGTTTACCGTCGTTATTTTAAGTGATGTAATGAGGTCAAAATGATGGTAATTAGAATGTATTTCAGGGGAACCCTTTTATTTTTAGTGTATTAATGACAATCGTTAATATTATTCGCGTTAAAACATGTGTTTATATCTGCAGATATCTTTGATAGATAAAAATTATTAAAAATGCCGAAGAAAACTAAACAAACAAAAATACAGAAACAAGAGCACGATCGAAGAAAAATTTGGAGAATAAATAAAAACGACATTATGAAAAGAAAAAGTAAGAGAATGCTATACTATTGAATTGCTATCGCCACAAAAAACTAATAGGATTAGAGACAGAATTAAAAAGTAAAGAATGACATAGAAAAAAAAATAATAAAGAAGAGGCTGCAATTCAGCAAACGCTTTATAGAGTAATGAAAAATACGAAGAAAAATTAAAAAAAGGAAGCTTATATTTGGGGAAATTATTTCAAGAAGTATCAAAGAAGGCTACAAGGGGTTATAAAAGAGGGCAAACGTAAATTTACTGCTATCTTTATGACAAAAAAAAATTACTAAACAAACTTTTAACATAGACGAAATTACAGTACTGGAGAAAAAGGAAAAAAGACAGGTACAGTGAGAGTTTGGTGGAATTACAGGTACATTACAGGTACACTCAACTTATATCTCAGGGTGACAGGCGCAGTGGCAATACCCTTCAGATCTTTGCGATTTAAAGGTCTGAGTGGCACTGTAAGTGTTATGGACAGGAGTGTAGCTGACCATCAGGCGCGCGACATGTTCGTTCCGTTGATATTATAAAAAAAGTTTAATAGAGCTACTAATGACAGAGTTTTACGAAGATAATGTAGTGACTAGAATTGCAGCAGATATACAGAAATAGCTATATTTTTTTTATGATTAGCTAATACTATAATGATTTTCCAGAATTAATAACTGTTACGTAGAATTATTTACAATGTGTACATGGCAAAGGAGCCCAAGACGGAGTAGTACAGATCAAGCTGTCCATTTTGGCAATGACGTAAACTCGTTTTGTACATTCTTGGGTTATATCCGATCTAAAGTAAACATTGATTCGTGTTGTTATTCAATATAACATTGAAGCTAAAAGTTTTCTAACAGGCCTAAAAGCAGTAAAATATACTGAGGAGCTCTTTTAACATTTGGATGCTTAAAAATCAGACTGAGAAAACTTTATTTTCTCTGTGATAATGTTACTATTTGTGATCACGGGAAAGGTATTGACACGTTGATATTCCTCCCTATAAAGATGTTTATACGCACAATTTTTTTGAGTTTTCTGGATGAGATGAGAATACAACACTAGGGCTAATTCAGGAAATATCAAATGACACAAAAATTTGCAGTACAAAAGCATCAACTAATTTCGAATTGAATTTACAAACAGGCAACACCCATCAAAAGTTAAAATACTATCGGAGATTAACTAACTAATTGGGAAAATAAGCAGTTTTATACTAAAGAGAAGAATATGGATAACAGTATTTGGAAAATTTTATAAAATGTATGAATTATAATGAAGCTTACAGCGAAAATGTTCGCAGTAATAAAAATGGGACGTGTATGAAGGTAACTAAAAGTGAAAAAATAGTAACTGTTAGTTTTTGGAGTTCAGATTAATTTGCAAATATTTTCTAGTTTACATGAGAAAACAGAACTTGTGTCATATTTAATTTAGAAATTATTGATTATTTAATTCCCAATAAGTGTTTTGGGAGGATAATATTTTTAGTTGTACTGATTAACAATGTCTGATTACGGATTACATCAAAATATTCATTGTAAGTCAATGGTTTTTTGTACCTATTTTTATAAGTTCACGTAAAGATTTCTTTTAGATTTCATAATATATTATATTTGTTTTAATTTCTAACTGGATATTTTTTAAATGTATAATTGACTGGAACAGAAGTTTTTAAATTGTTTCTATTTTATTTTTGACACTGACAAGGTGAATTTAGCTAATATGATGTTATGTTTCGATTATATTTTTAAGCATTGTTTAGAAATTTATTTATTATATCATATCCACAGAGTTCAAGATCGCAAGAAATACAATATGAAACATATAAACATAAAAAAAGAAACTACCAGTATTATATTACTGGTACTTCTTAAATGAACTGTTTAGAAATAATTTGACAAAACATTTAAAAGATATATGAAACAAAAGTTATCATTTCTTTCTATTCACCCACATTACCGTCGCACCAAACTTCCCTACTTTTTTATTATTGTCATTACCCTCGATGAAGTTCTCATTACTTTCTCACTGCGATATTTCAATTAGTTATAATTTCATAATTATTGAATTGAAAGTATAATCTTTATTAGATTACAGTATTCACTTTTTACAAAATCGCATAAAATTATAACATTTCAACAATAATTCTAAAATTTAGAAGTATCATCAATTTGCACGAAACGGAAGAAACACCCTAATGCATTTAGAATCATAATATTCACAGCTTAACTGGTGTACCTAAACATACCGGTTTCTTTTTTAAATATTATATTTTGTAACGGATTCATACAAGCACACGGGAAGTCCGCGTCAATCAGGTGTTGTTATACTTTTTGACTCTATATTTAAATAACAGAAATAACGAATTTTAATTTTTTTTTTATTGAATACCATGTTTTACTACTATGATATTCATCCATTTGTTTTGCGGAAAATCTCCACTAGTTTTGTTATTATTATTATACAAAGATCAAACAAACACAGAAAAATTCCTCCGACCCAACTAGACGCGAACCAGCGTGTGGCTCTTTATTGGTCTTTATGTGGATCTTTGTATCAATAATAACAAACTAATGTAAAGTTCAGCATTTATACCAAATGACTAAAACATTAATATTAAATTTTATTTACTTGAATTCAATTGTCTAATAAATACTTAAAAATTATCGTTACAATAGGTATTCACTTGTACAGCAACTTTTTCTAACAGTTGGATAATGAAGCTCTCAATCGTATTTTAGTTCTTATTTTTATTTCACATTCTTTCGTAGATGTAGATTCTAATTCTTTGACTTGGTGCTTCAACCACAAGCGAAAGTACGTGAGGTCAGTGTACATGGAAGGTATGCCTTCGGAACCGCAGGAGCCATCGCGAGAGTCTCGACCAAGTGATACTAATCCTACTATGTATCTGCAAACAAGGAAACGCAAATAGACAAGGCTTATTAACATCGATACCTCCAATGAACACTGTGCCAACTTAATTTTTTGGTATTTTTTTCTTTATTATTTTTTACAAAATTCGTTGTTTTGTTTTTTTCGAATTTTGTTTTTTGTTTCTCTGTTTTTTTTTTCACAAAAATCGGGCATGTTATTAGTACATAAAATAAGATTATTTACATTCAAAACAGAAAATGACCAAGTAAGTAAGTTGGCATAATGTACATTTTTTTAATTAAAAATTAAGTGTGCTTTTGACTTTCGTCCCACCTGAAGGAAAGTGACGATGAAGTCGACGATGGAGCATGCATACCTAAATAATGCCTATTCACTCTCACCTTGAAAATGTCTATGTTATAACGTTCAGGGAACTAGTTTGCAGGCACGGAATTCCACTCCATAGCCGTTCGCCATATAAATGTGGAAGCGAAACGCTCCGTGGGAATTTTTGGAATATCCATAGCGTAGGGGTGGAACCCCAGCCTACGCCTGATCCCCCGATGACGGAAAGGGGAAGGCGGAATTAATTCGTGCAATTCCCTCGCACACTCCATAGTAGAATACCGATAAGCAGGCAACTTTACGGCGGTGTTCAAGGCTTTGCAGCTTCGCCTCTACTAATTCTGACATGGTATCGACATAAGACTACGACTTCTGCAATAACTTTTTTTAGGCATAAGGAAACACGCGCCGCAACAGATTTCCATAAATAAAGTTTCTAGAAACTCAATATACTCAACACAAAAGATTAAAAAATTGCATTAAATAAACTGAAATGTTTTTTATTCATGGGTTCGATTCACGTGTCGGGAGAAATATTTGTATGGCCTGCACTTATTTTCCTCGTGACTTTGGGTGTAATTTGTGATTGTCTATGTGTATGTCCATGGCACCCTCGATACAGAGTTTCCCTAGTGCGGGGCTATAGAAAAAATAATACGAGATCAGTTCATCAACAGACACAGTTCATTCTTTTAGAAATGTAAATCAAAAGAGAGTATAGAGTTATAGTTTTGCACGGCGGAGTGTATGAAATGAGTCTCCCCGTAAGACGAACTACGTTTCTGGACATCTGGCGCAACCTGGACAAGAACCCCATGAAAACTAAGTTTTGGCCTGTAAGTCTATGTTAGCGCTAAGAAAAACGGATTAATACATACGATCTCCATGTAATGGGGGAACCAGAGTCGCCCCGGCAGTCGCTTGTCCATGTTAATCCGACCATGCAGAACATATGACTAGGCACCGGCATCATTTCTTTGCCACCAGTTTGGGAGAGGTTGCAAATCCTTGAGTCAACGTATTTCATTCGTGTCGCTTTCATCGTTTTCGTCAGTTCTTCTGTATTCTGTATTTTTTAAACATTACAATAAATTGCAATGTTATATATAGAGTTCTTACGTTTTCGCCATTGTTACACATAGGAAATGAAATTATTTTTCCGGATTTAAATCGCGTATATTTATGAAAAATCAAACAAACCAAACGTATCGGGTAAAGGGCCCGAAACGTTGGTTTGTTTGAAAAAACAAATATACGCGATTTAAATCCGGAAAAATTGTTTGATTTCCTATGTGCAGTATCATATTTTTATTGAATTGAATATGATGATGTTTTTACTAATACATATTCATTTATTTTTTGTGAAAATTCTGCAATAATTTGTTATTATTATTATTGATACAAAGATCGAACAAAGACAAAAAACAATCCCTTGGATCCAACTGCAAATTTCCCGAAGTAGCAATTGCAATATACAGGATTATTTGTAAAATACTAACAACCTCCCAGGACTGTATAACAACAACAACATTTGTCCCATAATTTTGAATAATTCGTTAGATTTTACTTTGATGTAAATATAAAAATATTGAAATAGATCTCCCTAAACGGTGATAGCTCTGTGCAAAATAATAAGAAACAAGAGACCTAAGTGACAAGTCACATGTGCCATGTGAAATTACAGACACGTTAGAGTTCAGAGTGGCACTGCAGCGACAGGCGCGTAGCATATCACCAGACGTGTGTCTACGTCCCGTCATTTCATATTATAAAAAAAGAGTCGTCCGGGAGGACGCTTGCTCATTTTAACTGCCTCCATGGCCGAACGGTTACCATGCCGAACTGCCACGCAGAGGTCCCAGCTTCGATTCCCGGGCCGTGAGAAATATTTGTATGGCCTACATTTATTTCTCTCGTGAGTTTGGATGTAATTATTAAAAAATGTGGTCGTCTGTGTGTATGTGTCTATGACACCCGGGACACAGGGTTTCCCTAGTGCGGGGCTATGTTGAGTGTGTGCGTTATTATATTATTTGAACTTAATACCGTACTACCAAATACAGATCTAAAAACTGTCAGAGAGTACAAAAAACTTAAAAGTTTATTTTTGGTATATTTATCATGTTTTGTCAAAGGTCACGGAATAAAAGTTGTTGTTTATGACGTTAGTAATCTATAAGTTTATATTATAGCCCTACAAGGTTGTGAGTATTTGAAAAATTACCCCGTGTAAGTGAAGTGCGCTCTAGTCACTTTGCGACTTAAGCACTATGTCCATTCAACACACTATGTCCATAATATTACATACATCCGATCAATCCAGTTGACAAATATTCATTTAAAAATACATTTCCATTTTCTGTAGTAATCTTGTAGACTCACATCGGTAGTGCCAAAACCAGCAATTGTCATAGTGTTTCTCACATTCCTCCATTTAGAAGTGGGGGCGATCGTAGCAATTTCAACGCGTCTGCTCAGCTTTATATGTCTTGATAGCAATAAAAGACCTATATCCCAGAAATAATCTTGTTCAGTATTATTTTCATATTTTGGATGTTTAAATAATTTACACACATCGTAATGTGCTCCTTGCATTGCGATTTCTGATCCTGCAAAAACAGTGCTATTGATCATTGATCTACCAACTGTTGACATGGAATGTCTGAATGAATGAATCATAAAACGAATTGGCAGACTCATGTTTTGAAATAACTTCTAGTGACATTAGTATTTTTTTTATGTTATTCGGTTTGTTATTATGTTGCACCCCACAAATCAATTTTAAAGGGTGAATAACAGCTACTTATAAACAGAAAAAGTACTTCTCACCCTAATCAGCCATGCAATAATTTCGCCGCATATAACAATAATAATATTATGTATTTATTTATTATTTTAGTGGCACAGTTCAAAACTGTCTGAGCTACTTCGTACAGTTTTCATATTACCTAGGTATACTTCGATAAGGTCAGGATCTAGCGGTTTATTGTTATCGTCGACGAGGCAGTGTGCAGCAGTAACAATAACGCGGTTGCTGATGATAGCACCACCACACACCGAGGATTCTTCTATTATCACTTGCGCTGTATACGGGTACTGCTCTATATCTACGTGTACACCATGCACAACCAATTTCGTCACTGAAAGCAAGTCATCATAATAATCATTAGGGGTTATCGGTTTTTCACTAGTTAAGAGTTTATTCGACCACACTATCTTTACCTTCAGTATAATTCTTGAGAGAACGCGACTCCATGACCAATATAAGAAGTATCCAAAGAAAGCACATGATTCATACTCGCGTGTTCCAACGTTTTTGAAACCCTGCGTGTAATTTGTTAACTTTAAATCGAATATTTAATTGCTCTTTCCACATACACGTTACGGGCAAAAATTTTATGCAAATTACTTTCATGTTGTACTCTTAGGGTTCAACCAAACTAGTTGACACAAAATCGGCTTACGCCGATCTTATAGCACCGCATTACACTTAATAGGTAAGCCAACGGCGAAACGCCATTTTGTCGTCGGCTGGCTACGACACACGTCGCCGTCGACGCGCCCAATACGCAATGGCGTATTTTACGTCCTTGCCGACATAGGCATAAATGTATTGTTCGTTAAATCGCACAAAAATGTCTTAGAGACTTACACAATGAACAAGATACAAAATAACAGATTGGATTTTTCCAGATTAAGTTTTCAAAGCAAATTCACCCCTACTCCGAGACAAAGACAACCACGTCACTTATCGATTTTAATATAGGAACGTTTGTCAATAACGTAACTATTATTGATATATCGATAATAAACGCTTAGTTTTCACCACCATAAAGTTGTATTTTTGCTTGGAAAACCTTACAATTCTTTAGTGGAACTTTTAGATGCTGTCTGAACTGCAACAAAACAATCACACTTACGAAAAAGAGCAAAGTAAATGGCGCACTTTGCCGTTTCAAAATTAATTTGCATTTTTTATTATAATTTGAAATTACAAAGGGGTTGCAGTGTTCAGCGCTTTCAGTGCAAAGGCGGTTAAATAAATGCTGTAATAGAAGTGGTTTTCTACTTATACTTTAATGTTGTATGCAAACGCCTCCTAGTTCTTTCCTTTCTGCGATTTGAATTTGTGTTTGTGACTAAAGGTAACGTTAACTAAATATAATGCGGTAGTGAACATAAACATTACATGCAAGAATCTGCAGTCAAAGCGCAACATAATTATGAACTTGATTTATTTCGGTATTTTTTAATTTACTACAATTGTAAACTGTTTTGTCTTACGGTGTTGACAACGCGACAATCGGAATAACAGGTAAATTAGTTTTTTTTTCGATTGAATTTCAGTAAGTACCTACGTACTATATTACTTTAGGGACCGAATCTACTTAGGCAGTATTTTTAAAAGACTAGACAGAAATTCCCATGTGTAAACGTACAGCAAGCCTAGCTTCAAAACTAAAATTAAAAGATTCATGTTTATTAAAAATTAAAAAAGATTTAAAAGAAACTATGTTAATTAATTGTATTAATTTACACTCTGTTGCTGTATAAATTTTAAAAGTGTAAACCTATGTATAAGGTAGCCTGTAAGTGCAATATATACTCGTATAATGCTTTTATATTTTGATTGTACCTTTTTTGCTATAATACTCTACGAGGATTTAATAGATGTGTGCCGTTTAAATAATTTTTTTTTCGGAATTTATTTATATTTCTTAATTTAGAACTTTGAACCAACTGATGTTACTTTTTTAAATAAGCGCGAAAATAACATAAAAATGGAATAAAAAGTTAGGTAAGAGTAGGTTGATATATTTTTTGAAGATGGAGGAAACGGAATTTCGAGTATTCCGTTTCTCATCTGCAATCAGAACATCAAAACCTTGTCAAATTATAATACGAACTATTGCCACACCCTCCGTATTCGTCACATTTGGACCCATTTGACTTTTTGTCTGATTTTTTACCGATTTGCATCAAATGAGGAAGTGATAATTGAAACCGGCGTATTTTCCAATTTGACAAAAAACTTTTTTGATGTGTTGAAGAATTTGGGATATCGCTGGTCTAGGCATATAGAGTTAAAAGAACATGACGTAGAAAATTAAACACAATTTAAAAAATATGCTTTTTTTTCTTCTCAACGTCACTGTTTTTTTATATAATAATACCAAGTGACGAGACGAACGAATCGTGCGCCTGATGGTAAGCGACACGCCTACCCATTACAGTTGCAATACCACTCAAAGCTTTAAATTGCAAATCTTATAGGCACTGCCACTGCGCCCGTCACCCTGAAACATAAGTTGACAAGTCCCATGTATCTGTAATTTCACCAGCACCCTTACAGTACTTCCATGGACGAACTCTTTCACAAGGAGGTCTACTGCTATTAAAACTTATCAAACCGCCATTGTATATAATTATGTATTGTGTTGGCTATTCATTCTAAATAAATATATAAAAAGATATTAGATGATGAGTGGTTCTAAGTAGGTCATTCCAAACGTACAGGCATGAATCAAGTGGAAAGATTTATATCCCTGCTTTACCAGCACTCGTGTACGCAGCTTTTGTTCAAATTCGAGGATCTCTTTACAAAATATTTGTGGAAAAATTAAAAGAGTAGATACACTATTTATTTGTAATGAATATCATGATGTTTTGACTACCTTTATATTCATATATTTTAGAAATTTACTCCACAAGCAGCCCCGGTTAGAACTACAGATACTGGATAGAAAAAAAGGTTGAGTGCTATTTAAAAAATAAGTGTCTAAACGCGACGTTCAACATTATAATAAAAGAGTCACAATAACGGAACAAAAGGTTTAAAGCGGTATTACCCCGCAGTTACACCCGAACATACTCAGACGAATTGAGAGAATAAGAATCGGAAAAGAATCATTACAATAAATTTGTGTGAGAGAGTGATTTAAACATTAACTTAAAACGCTATATTTACTGACTATATTATGTCACACAAAGATTTACCGTGGCAAGACACGTAAGTCTTTACGAAGTCGTTACGGATAGCTGAGTCAAGACTCAGCTATTCGTAATTAACTCATTACTTTCCATGTCACAAACGAAAACGTCATGGTGATAACAACAATGGCGTCACTCATAGCACTCGGCTCGTTCCAGTTTTTGTTCGCCGTCGCTTGCAATTACAAAAATTTGAATGAGCTCGCTCCGAGTTGTTCAAACAACTTTTAAGACGGTGCCTTAACTAGCTTCGTAATTTTCAAAAAAAATGTTTTAAGTATTTTGCCTTTTTTTAATATATCTGGGAAGGAGATTCGTAAGGCACATTGTATAGCCGAATGCAAAAATGTGTGAAAATATAAGTGGGTTTTTAAGTACTAAATTAATCGTTTACATACACATATTCATACAACATTTCCCAATTAAATTTCCTAAAGTTTTCGTCTGTACTATATGTATATGTGTACATTCAAGTAGTTCCGATGAAAACTCTGATTGAAAAGAACTAATATTTCTTTGATAGAGATTAAATTGGTTTTTAATAAACTCACTGTTTAATTATCGTAATATTATGCCTGCAAAACATTATAGTAACAAGTGTACAAAATTAGAGAGTAGTAATTTTCTCATATACAGTTTCGGTGTTGCATGTGCAATGCACGTGTGCTGCACACTTGTCTAACGTGAAGTTAGGTGCAACTCACGCAAGGTTCGCATAAAGGTGAGTCCACGTTTGTGAAATTTGAACGCACCGTGATTCCGAGACATATCATCATTGACTTACAAATAAATGGACGACGGGTCTAATACAAAAACCACGAAAAAAATGTCCCAAGTCAACCTATTTAAACGTAGTGACATGTAAAGGAATATGAAAAAGCTAAAACGTTGAATTTAAATTGTAATGTCATCGCAGTACTGTCTAATTTTGCTTGCTTCGCTGTCAGTCGAACAAATGAAGACTAAAGCGTGAATGACGCTCTGTATACGATTTTAACGCCCTATAAGTTCGGACACTTTTTAGCGCGGACCCGACGTCCAGATAATTGTAAGTCAATGCATATCATGATACTTGCTACGCAAATGTGAACGGCCCGCAGCAATTTCAGAGACCGTGACTTTTGAACGCACCGTGACTCCGTGATATGTCACGAGTACTTGCTTACCGATTCGTATGGATGGCTGCGTGACATTAGGCCGTGTCATATGCAAACCGTCCACACTACGCTTAGCTAAAAAGTACACGGCCATCATTCACCAATCATCAGGTAAAAAATATCAAAATGGGAATGCAAAAATTCCCCGAAAAACAATAAGTTCCAATAAGAAAACATTTTTGTGATGCTCGAAATGATCACTTTACTATATACTAGAAAAAGTATCACACAAAATCCGTACAACACTTTATGCGGGTTAGGAACTTCGCATGCATGCCTTTTAGCACAAATGTTTACCGTTTCAGACAACACGTCTCATGAGACCCTTGTATCTGTAAATCTAAGTTGAATCGTTTGTTTATTTTATTTAGTGAACAGACATGATAATAGTAAGCCTGCATATATTCTGTTTCATTGTTATGACTGTTTCTGTAAAAATATTTTTGAAGTACACATGGTCGCAAACAAAGAGTAAGGAAAATATTTTGTTCTTAGATTATAAAAAGAGTACAGAAGCAATTTATTTATTTTTTATAAAAGCAGTTTAGCTTGCTGAAAAAGAAACATAATTATTAGAAAGAATAACAATTGTAACTATAGTGAAAAAATAGGGTGGTTTGCATCAATGTTAGACATAACTGGTTGAAGACTGTACCACCTCAGTCAACCGTGACCATGGGACCTGTAAAGGGCCCGAAATGTCGGTTTGTTTTAAAAAACAAATATACGCGATTTAAATCCGGAAAAATAGTTTCATTTCCTAAATATAAATGGAATTTTGCAGACTGTTTTTTCAAGTGGATTCGTCGACCTCAACTTTATGGAAACATTTTTTTAAAATATTACTGTTACGAGAATAGATGGGAAAAGCTGCTTATTTTTTAAACGTTTAAACGTTATGCTTTTTTAAAAAACGTTATGCTCTTTAGTTTGAAGCAAACAAAACAGTTTAGAAAACGTTTAAGCGCATAGACTTTGCAACGTTGTTGTGTTGATAGCGAAACGCAAGAGTAGACCACTAAAGGTTTTAAGATAAGTAAGCTTTTTTGTAAAAAACGTTGTATTTTTATTTATGACATAACATTAATAAATTAACATTTTGTTTATT